GGCCAAGCGGCGACGTAAGCACGAGACTTTCGCCAGCAGCGGGTCGGAGGAGGAGACGGTGCGGATACCGCTTCCCTTCTCTCGTCGAAAAAAGGCTGGGCGTGCCTCGAAATTGCTAGAACAGACCCCTGGAGAGGTGCCAGGGAGCGGCGGCATCGGTAATTACCTTAACGGTGTCTGGACCGTCCCGGCCTCGACAGGGAGGGCGAATGTATTTCATGCCTCGGCAGGGTGGCGTGCTGCGTTTTGCGGGCGCCCGCGCGGGATTTTCTTGCGGCTGCGCTGCGCTGGGCCCCCCCCTCCCCACCAATCGCCGGGCGCGTTCCACTACTCGCAACGTGCGTACTCTCAAACGTCAGAAGAAAACACATGTCTGCATCCATGTGATTTATCGTAGATCCCCCGCGGCGGATCGAGGCCATTTACGAGTAGCTACTCAAAGAGTAGGGGAACGCGCTCGTCCAACCAAACCCCCTTCCCCTTGCGCCTCTTGCGCGCGGAGGCGCCGGCCCGGAGGGGCGGTGCTCTTCCTGACGGGGGGGCCGGGCGCCCACCCAGGAGCAGTCCGCTCCTGCCTCCGAGCGTTGGTTGACTACCGTCGCACCGTGTGCGCCGAGGCGGCGGGCTTCGGTCTTCGGGGAGGACGCCGCGGCCACCGCGGCAAACGCCGCCTCAGACGCGGTGGGCTTTGCCGTGGTGACTATCTCGGACTCAAAAGTAGTCAACAAGTACGCTGGGAGCTATTTTTTGTTTCAGCACTTGTTTTCTATTTGGGTGTATTTCCCTGCCTAGGCTCTGCCTAGAGGGTTCTTACTCTCTTAGCGTAAAGGGGCCGGGCAGTGGAAAGCGCCCAGGGCGGTTCCCCCAGTCCCCTGGGAGCGGTTCCCGCAGTCCCCTGGGAGCTTTAGCTTTATCTTTAGCTTTAGCCTTAGCTTAGCTTTAGCTTAGCTTTAGCTCAGCTTTAGCTTAGCTTTACCTTAGCTTGACCTTAGTTTTACCTTAGCTGTAGCTTAGCTTTAGCTTAGCTTTACCTTAGCTTTAGCTTAGCTTTAGCTTAACTTTAGCTTAGTTTTAGCTTAGCTTCAGCTTAGCTTTAACTTAGATTTAGCTTAGCTGTAGCTTAGCTTTAGCTTAGCTTTAGCTTAGCTTTAGCTTCGCTTCAGCTTAGCTTCAGCTTAGCTTTAGCTTAGGTGTAGCTTAGCTTTAGCTTAGTTTTAGTTTAGCTTGAGCTTAGCTTTAGCCTAGCTTTAGCTTAGCTTTCGCTTAGCTTTAGCTTAGCTTTAGTTCAGCTTTACTGTTACTACTAATGCTGCTTTCCTAGGGGCTCCAACTCCTAGGTAGGGTCGCACTGGGATAATTTTGTTATTGTATTTTTTCATTTTTTTCACCCCAAATCCGCTTGTAAGCGGACAGGCCCGACGTAAGGTTTGCCGCGACGCCGGCCTCGTCTGCCGGGGGGCGCGGGGCGCCGGGTGTGCCGTGGGTTGGCCGTGGTGTCGGTTTTGTCCTCGTGGGCCCGTCGGAATAAAGATCGGCGCGGCGACAACGATGTGCTCACGCCGTTGCGTCGCCGTCCGTGAGTCTACGGCAATCTGCACTCGTTGCGCGTGGACAACGGGAGCGCGGACAGTTGCGATCCGATCACCACATATGGCGAGATATCCGCGGAGGGCATGCGCAGCCTGGTGGAGGCGGCATCGAGCAGAGACGGCACTTTTCTAGACATCCAGAAGGCCAGACACGGGCATAAGTATGGAGCCACCGTTTGCGGTAAGCCTGCGTAGTTATCGAAAGGGGTTGGATTCGGAAGAGGCGGCGGTAATACTGCTGCTCGTCCTGAAGAGTCTTCGCCAACACAGCTGGATTCCTTCGGAATTGCTGGGGAAAGCGCACCCAGGTAGAGATCCGCGAAATGCCAGTATCAGTACCTTTGGTATCCCCCTATGACTATTTCTCAGTCTCTCTATGCGTTATTGCACTCTTCGTGCCTGTGGGCGCAAGCCCTTCTGCAATCATTCATATGGCAACTCCCCGCTTGTAGACATGTGAGGATCCGCGAGAATGTCTTGTTTCGGCGCTGGCCCCCCCCCTACCCACGTTTGGCGGCTGCTGCCTTGGTCTGTCAATTTCAAAAGACATGTTTTTGGGCGGACTTCCAATAACGGCTTCTCCCATTCAGGAAACGAGTGTTCTGAATTCCAAAATTGGTTGCTCGAGTTCCCCAAACGAGCTTCGTGACTTCGGAAAATGAGCCCCTGGGAGCTCAGAAGAGAGCTCCAGGGACGCGTCGGGCAGTCCAGGGGGCCCTCGGAGAGGGGGGGGGCGCTGTATGCGGCACGGTGCGACCAGTCGGCGGCGAGCGAGGGGGGGCAAGTGAGAAGGAGAAGGCCTTCTCAGAAGGCGGTGGGACTTCTCAGAAGCCCTTGCGCCTGCTGAGAAGTTTACCTTGCCTTCGGGAAAAGCTTTGAGAACTTCTCAGAAGGCCGGAGAACTTCCGCGCCTTCTGAGAAGGCCTTCTCCTTTCCACTTCCCCTCCTCGCTCGCCGCCGAACCAGGGGGGGCGGCCCCTGCTCAGACTTGCAGGAACCCAGATCAATCGGTCGTTGAAAGTCTGCATTCTTGGAGTGCCAGATTCCAATCTGCTTCAAGCGCCTTCCTACTTCAGTGATCGAGCGGCTTCCTCTTTTCCGTCCTCGTCAGGGGGTGGGCGGACGCCCAATCTTTTTCCAACGCCTTCCTACTTCATGTGTCTACCCATTTCTTACGACCGATGGGTACCAGACAGCGCCTGGCGTTCCAGCACGCGTCAGCGTCTCCAGGCGCGCACGGTGGCGGATGTTTGTGCAGTACTCTGTTTCCTTCTGACCCAGACCTCCGACGCTGCTGTTCTCTTTGCGCGGCCCCGGAGAGATCCCGACCCGTTCCCAGGGGGTAGTGTTTCGCCCTGGGTCCAGTGGACATCGAGAAAAGAGGCGCTAGCATTTTTGAAAAATAGCATATCGTCGGAGATCTGGGAGCATTGGCTCGGGTGCTGGCGCCTTCGCCCTCTGGGCGTGCACCCAGGGCGGCTTCTGGCACTGCGCTGGGGTCGAGGCCGGGGCGGGCGGTAATGGGGGGTGACCTACATGGGGGGGGAGAAAACGACCCCACAGTGGCCCTTCATGGCCTTTTTGGGGCCCTGTTGTCTCCAGAAGGGGCCCTACAGGGTCCTTGCAGGTCCCCTCATGGGCCCCTTCTTAAAAACTTGGGCGGCGTGTTTTGTTTTCCGTTTCCAAGATCGACGTATTCTGTCCGTCTCGAGCGCCCGTTTTTGTTACCACCAGCCCGAGAGGTCCAGCGAGAGCGGCACGAGGCGGCCCTGAGGGCGCTGCGCGCCGCGGGCTCCAGGCCCAACGTTTCGCTGCGGCTGGGCGACGCCCTGGAGCACCCGGCGCTGTTCGACGGGGTCGGCCTGGCTTACTGGAGCTCCGAGGAGGCGAAGGCCCAGATCCTCTCGAGTCGTGACAACGATTTGCGACGGGCGGTCTTTGGCAGTGTTCGGCCTCTGGGGGCCCTTGCCGGGCCCCGGGACCGTCAAAAAACGATTCAGCCTGGCCTACTGGAGCTCCGATGAGTCGCAGACGCCGATGCTCAGGATCCTTGCGCCGACCCCCGTCCCCCTATCGCCGTCCGGACCCCCACCACCTCGGCACCCCATCCGGGCCAGGAGTCGGAAAAAAACGATGCTCCGATGCCGCCACCCGTGCCTCGCCTTCGCCTCTTCGGGCCTCTGGGAGGCACCCGTCGCCACGACGGCTGGGTCCGCCTCGAAGTGGAGGTCAGGAGATGCACCCCGGGCGAGGGTTTTTGGGCGAACACACATCTCTAAACACTGTGCCTCGCGGGCTGGGCTCCCGGGCCGCCATTCCGCGGTTACGGAGCGCTTCCTCGCGGAGGCCCCGCGCGGAACACATCCGTGCTTCCGCGTATCCGCGGAATCGCGCCCCAGGGTCACGACTGCGAGGGCTTGGATATGGATGCGTTCGCCGTTTATGAGAGGGCCGGAGAGCAGCGGCATCGGTAATGGTGCCTCCCCCCTCCAGGAACAACTTGTGTTTCCCCGCCGACGCGACCGCCTCGCTGGCCGCCCGCTTCGCGCGCCGCGCGCCAGCGGGGGCTGAGCTGTTCACCCTGGCGGCGCTTCCCCCCCAGCCAGGCGTGGGGGGCTCCCAGCTCGAGCTGCGGCTGAAGATGGACTGGCGAGGCCGGGATTTGTCCATAACCACCGCCTGGGGGATCGATCTTTCGGGGCTTCGGCAGGCGATGGGTATGGACATGATCAGGCCCCCCTGAGGCCAAAGCATGCCCATGTCCACTGCCCGCCGGGGCCCCAGGGCATCGGTTCCCCAGGCGGTGGTGCTGGGCACACCTCCGCCTCGCAGGACTGGCGAGACGAGCCGTACCGGCCGTACAGGTACACGCGCGCCGCCGCCGCGGGCGGCGCCAGCGAGGCGTGAGGCTGGCGCGCCTACCTGTCCGGAGAGATGGGCTCAGGGGCTGCCCCCCCCGCGGAAAAGAAGGTGCTGACTCTTCCTCGCATGCCTCTCTCTCGTGTCTCTCGGGCCAGACGAACGGGCAGGATAGGGAAAGGTTACGAAATCTGCTTAATGCAGCTGGTTTCGGCCCCGCCGCCGGGCCCATTTCTCGATACATGGGCGCCCCTGGCGCCAGGAAGACCAGCTACTTGAGGTGATTCTCTACCCTACCATACCCTTTGCTATCCTACCCTTTTGTCCTCCCCGAGCCACCCCCAGACGGTGTGGTGACCACACCGTGCGGTGTGTCAGTCGGGATTCGGGGTGGCCGCAGGGGTGTGAGACTTCCTGGGCCGTTCTCCGAGGGCGTCTCGGGCGCCGGCTGGTGGCGGGCCGTGCGGCGAGGCCTGTGCGGATTCCGAGGTCACCGCGCCGGGTTGCCACCGCACCGTGCATCGATCCCCGAGCGTCGGCCCCGCGGTGCAGGAGTATTATCTGGGCAAGCTGCTGGTGAAGCAGGAGCGGGCGCGCCTGGCGCCCCTGTCCGGGGCCTCCGCCCTTCTGCTCCGCTGCTCTGCGACCGCTATCGGACCCTTCCCCCCGCGGGTCCACTGCCGGACCCATCGCGTCGTGCGTCGCCGTCGTCGTGGTGGTCGCCGTCGTCATCAGCAGCAGCACCATTATCATCGTCATCGTAAATGTCAACGTCATCGGCAATGTCAACATCGGCATCATCCTCGTCGGGTTCGTCCTCGTCTTCCTCCTCCTGATCATCATCGTCATCATCATCATCATCATCATCATCATCATCATCATCATCATCATCATCAGGATCATCATCAGCAACAGCAACAGCAACAGCAACAGCAACAGCATCATCATCATCATCATCATCATCATCATCATCGTCATCATCATCATCGTCATCATCATCATCATCATCATCATCATCATGAGACTCCCACGCGTAGTGAAACAACGATGGGCCGACAATGCTGATGCACTTTTCGGCCCCAGGGGGACCCTCACGGGGTCCGTGGACCGTCCACAAAACGATTCAGGAGGAAAAGTTGGTCCCGGGGACAGGGAATGGGTCGAGACTTTCCGGGAACCTCGTTGCGAAACATCACGACGTCGGGGGTCTGGGATCGGCGCTGGCGTATCGGACACCCCCGCTGCGGTTCTTTGGCTGAAGACATCCTTCCAATTCTGAGAGCCTCAGCCGGGTTGCCTGTAGAGTAAGATTCACGCGCGGATACTTGAGATCTCTTCGGGGGCTTTCAGGGGAGCTTTTCCGTGACGGGAGCAGGGGCCCTCGAGGGGAACGGACTGCTTCGTTGTCGGCCCCTGGGGCCAGAGGCGGGTCTCCGAGGGGCCAGAACGCAGTTGTAGCCCTGGCCGTCGCGGCTCTGTTCCGTGGCGGAAGAGGTTTGGGGAGGTGCTGGAGCAGATATCCAGGGCGACGGGGGGACGAAAGGGAGGGATAAGGAGATGGGGCGTCACGAAGCCGCTGCCAGCAGCTGGTTTCGCCCCCGCCGCTAGGGGCCCTTCCTCGATACATGGCGCCTTCGGAGCAGGGGGGCGCCGGGAGAATCAGCTACGTAAGCTGATTCGGCCGCCTTCCGCGCAGACGGTGCCGCCGCGATGCGGTCGCCGCGGCCGCCGCTGCGGCCTCGACGGTGGCCGCCGCTGCGGCCGCGGCGGGCGGCGGCGGCCACGGCAGCGCGGCACCTGCCGCGACGACGACGACGACGACGACGACGACGACGACGACGACGACGACGACGACGACGACCGCGGCTGCGACGACGGCGACAAGATCGACGACGACTGGAGGGAACACGCCCCCTCTTGGGCCGAAGAGGAACAGCAAGGCAGACCCTCATTAGGCCGCGGCTCCAGAGGCTCCCGAATAATTCAGGAAAAGCGGAAAGTCAAACGAAGACGATGACGACCGCGGCGGCGGCGACGGCAGCGGTTGCGACAGCGGCGACGACGACGGCGGCGACGGGGACGACCAAGACGACGGACGACGCGCAGGCCGCTCCTTGGCTGCATTCCGACAGGCCTCTCCGCACGAGTCCAGCCACGCAGATGAGGGCGCCCCCGTATGCCCAAGTGGGTGCGACGACCGGGCGTTTCGTGATGGGCGTGCGAAATGGGGGGGGGGACCGAGGAGGAAGGAGGGTTTGGACGCCCATCAGGGGGAAGCAGCGGGGGAGACCCTAACCCGAAATTCTAAACCCTCAAGACGACAAGCACTACGTATTGAGCAAGCCCAAACGGCAACAAGCAGCGAGGCGGGCCGACGGGTGCCGCGCTGGAGCTTGCACGAGTGGGAGCATTTCCGGAGTCGGAAAGAGGACAACATAAAGGTCCACCTTTCAGGGGCGAGATACATCGCTCCAGAGCGATCCGACTCGCTCTCAGAGCGTTCAGGAGCCCTCTGGAACGGCCGCTGCGCCTGATACATCCTCAAGGGCTGCCGGATCTCGGAGATCTCCGGTTTGTCCCGGTCCGATTTTGTCCCCGATATACACATCTCCGGGTCCGCGCCCTCGCGGGCCTGGCCTTGGGGCCGCGACCCCGCCGACACGGAGCCGTTTCTGTCCGCGGATGCCTTGCGCGGGGCGTTATGTTAAGTCGGACTTGTCCCTCTAGAGGGGGAATATTCAAAGATGGTCAAAACATAGTCTTGGGGACGATTCTTGGAGCACTTTCTGACAACTCTTGATGGATATTTTTGAGGTTCTTTTTTGATTTTTCGCTCAAGTTCCGCCTGTAGGGGGACGTGCCCGACTTAAGCGTAATTCAGGCGATCGCAAACATGGATGAAGGGGGCGTGGATTAGCGACGGGTTCCGTTTCCATTGGAAATCGCGGATTTCCGCCGCCGAGCGAGGAGGCACCGGCCGCATTTGGGGGAGGGCACCTCCCCCCATCTATGGATTAGGCGACCGCGCGCCAAGTCCATGGATCGCTAATCCATGTTTGCGGGCCCCCGAGTAATGCTCCGTCCGGGCGCGTAGCCGCGGGATCGCGCCCCGGGGCCAAGGCCGCGCGGGCGCCCGGGGCGGCTCGTGCTCCGCCGCTCGTGCAGAGCGGCGGCGGCGGCGGCGATGTGGCGGGGCCCCCCCCCCGCCGCAGGAGCTCGCCTTCGTCGGCCGCCGCGTGTCCGCCGTGCGGGTCGCGGTGACGAACACTGGCCGGGCGGCGCTTGGCCTTCGGGGGCAACGACAGGCGACTACAGTCGGTGCGGTTACGCCGGGATGCGGTTTGCGAGTTGCTTAGTGGCGGCCTTTCCGGGGCCTTTGTGAGAGACGATGTCGTAACTGTCGTCGTTTCGAGCGACACTGTCATCCCCGATGTGTGCTCTAAAGTTACTGTACTAGAAGGAGCGACAGTGTCATGTCATACGGTCGCATTGTGTGACGGGGGCGGGAGGGGCAGGTATGACAGGAGGCAAACCGCACCCTTCGCAAATCGCACCCGTTGTAGTGGCCAGGGGAGGGGAAGGGACCCACGCCGCTGCCCGCGGGCCGTTCTTCCCTTTTCTCCCCGGGCCCTCGTCGTCACCGCTACAGATGCGCCTCGAAGTCCGAGTCAGAGCGCACCCCGGGAAAGGTCCGAGTGGCGGCGGTACCCGCACTTCTGGGTTTCCCCAACGATGGGGGGCGATAGGCATAGGGGGGTGTGCATCGACCCCCCAGCGCCCATTCATCGCCGACAGGGGCCCGGCAGCCCCACCCCGCCCAGGACCGTGCAGATTCGCTATCGGGAGACGATCGCCGATCTATCTGCGATGTATTCCCGTTTCCAGGTCGACGTTTCCTCCTTGTGTCGGTTCCCTCCTATCATGGCCCCTCAGGCCTCCAGTTCAACTACGAGGGCACCGCCGATGCCGAGAGCCAGCTGAAGGCACCCTCGCTGCACCGAGGATCGTTACTCTTGCTCTCGACGTGGGTCCGACGCGGCGTCGACGTGACTTCGACTCAGATTCGAGGTGCATTCGACCCAGATTCGGCACAGAATCGACGCGATCGACGTGGATCCGGCACGGATGCGACACGGATGGCGGGTGCGATGGGATAGGCGAGGTCCCGCAAGGACTCAAGAGAAGGATCGAGGCTTCCCTGACACTCTCGTGGTGCAGAGATCACCGAGCGCGTTCCATTACTCGCAAAGTGCCTACTCGCAAACGTCCGAAAAACACCTGTCTGCTTTGATGTAGTGTATCGTAGATCCCCCGCGGGGGATCTAGGCCATTCACGAGTAGTTACTTGGCGAGTAGTGGAACGCGCTCGTCGAGACACTCTCTCGTGGTGCAGAGCTCAAGGCCGATGGATTCTGGCCGTTTTCGGCCTTTGGGGGCCCTTGCCAGGCCCCGAGGCCGTCCAAGGAACGACTCGGGATGCGGAGTCGCTCCACCGGGAAGGGGCCGAGACCTCTGTTGCGCCACGCCGCGATTGCGGGAAGAAAGCGACGTGGGAGGTCCGAGTGCTGGATATTTGTGGGCCTTGTTGGTGCCTCTTGTGGAGCAGGGACCGACCGTCCTGTGATTCCTATAGGCCTACCACGAAATGTTCTTAGAACCCAAGCATGTTTTTGAGAACAACACCAATGTTCTTAGAACATAAGCCCGATGTGGTAAAACAAGACGGTCCCAACAAGACATGTTCTAAGAACACTTCGTGTAACCCACAACAGGTTCTTATATCATTTGTAGGTGGGCCTACAGGGGAGCCAGGACGCTTCGCCACTGCTTGATCTTGTGGATCCTCGGCCGCCACGGATGGATACGCCTCGAAATTTTGGTCAGCACGCACCCCAGGACATGCCGAGGGTACAGGGTTCATTCTGAATCTTCGTGAGGAGGTTCTTCAGCCCAGCCCCAGAGGTCAAACGTAGCTAATAACCTTCCGTCGTGCTTTCGAGCGGAGCCCGAAGTGTTTTCGTGCGGTGGAATGGAGTGTCTAATTGACTCACTGGTCGAATTTGTGTGGCGTCCGTTTCATTTTCGGCCGGCGCATCCTATGGCGCAGCCGATAGCAGGCCGTGTCATTCCTGACCGTGCGCAGTGGCGCAACCATCAAAGGAGCAACCCATGGATTGAGCATGGCGCAACCCATGAATGGCGCATCTCATAGCGGAGCCCGTGATTGTCGCAGCCCATGGATCGCGCAACTTGTGCCACGAATGGAGTGTCTAATTGACTCACTGGTCGAATTTGTGTGGCGTCCGTTTCATTTTCGGCCGGCGCATCCTATGGCGCAGCCGATAGCAGGCCGTGTCATTCCTGACCGTGCGCAGTGGCGCAACCATCAAAGGAGCAACCCATGGATTGAGCATGGCGCAACCCATGAATGGCGCATCTCATAGCGGAGCCCGTGATTGTCGCAGCCCATGGATCGCGCAACTTGTGCCACGATCCACTTCAAGCGCAGCCCATGGCATGACCCATGGAGGATGACGCAACTGATGGCACAACCCATCGATCGTGCAACCTATAACGCGCCACATCGTTTGCACACACCCCTGGCACGCCCGACTCGTGCTCGCCGTGTGGGCTGGCGACCCAGACCACCGACGTCATATTCTGTTTTCAATGCGTCGACCCCGAGAGGTATCGACCCAGTCCCCTGGCTTGGGCCGGTCTTCCATCCCGAGTCGTTGTTTGCCCCTTGCGGGGCCCGGCGAGGGCCCCCCAGAGCCGAAGATACAGAAGTACACCAGAGAAACACCCTCATCCTCCCGGGTTGGGTTCCCGGGTTCCCGGGTTCCCGGGTTCCCGGTGATTGGTTCCCCAGATGCCCCACGATGCATGTTTTTCCAGCGTGCCTATCGAGATGCGTAGCGCCGGAATTTCCGGAGCTCGCTATGCATTTCCGCTTTTCCGGAATTTCCAGCGCGGCGTTGGAAAATGCAGCGCGGGATTTCCAGCGCGATGGAAATTCTATTTCCAGCGCGACGGCTGGATTTTCCAGCGCGCTCGTAACGCCGCGCGCATCCATCACCATCACCATCGCCATATCGCCATCATCATCATGATCACCATCATCACCGTAATCATCATGATCATCATCCTCATCATATACATCACCACCATCATCCTCATCATAATCACCACCATCATGACCACACTGTCGCCATCATCATAATCATCATCATACGCTACGGCCACCTACCATTACCACCAAGGTCATCATCACCACCATGGCCACCACCATCATCATCATCATCATCATCATCATCATCATCATCATCATCATCATCATGATCATCATCATCATCATGATGATCACAGCCACCGCGCCGCGCGCGGGGCGGGCCACGCGCGCATCCCCGCTGTGGCAGGGGCGCGCGCGCGGCCCGACTCAAACAAAAAAAACTAAACCTACGCGCCCGCCTAAACGCCCGTCTGCCCGCGGCTCAGTCCTGCTGCGACACCAATGCGGAACGCCATCTTCATCACCACCATCACGAACATCATCATCACCTTCATCACCATCACCATCACCATCATCATCATCATCATCATCATCATCATCATCATCATCATCATCATCATAGCCATCATTATCATCATCATTGCCATCATCATCACCATCAACGTAACCATCACCACCACTGACACCATCAACAGCATCTTCATCATCACCATCACGAAAATCATCATCATCACCATCACCATCACCATCATCATCATCATCATCATCATAACCATCATCATCATCATCACCATCACCATCATCACCATCATCGACACCATCACCATCATTAACAACTGCATCATCATGCTCATCTGGTGAGTCGAACCGAATCGAGTGGGTGGGCGGATTTGGGGGCAGTCGGAGTGTCGCGGCCAGCGATGGTGAATAAAGAAGCGCCCCCCTGTTTGGAGGAGGCAGGGGAGGGAGGGAGGAGGAGGAGGAGGAGGAGGAAGAGGAGAAGGAGGAGGAGGAGAGGGAGGAGGAGGAAGAGAAGAGAAGGAGAAGGATGATGAGGAGGAGGAGGAGGAGAAAGGAGGGAGGAGGAACCGTCGTTGTCAACGCAGAGAGGTCCACCTTTTGCCGTCGCACCCTCGCCTCCGTAGGCTGTTGCAGGGCAAGCCGCGCAAGCCAGCCTCTCCGTAGGCTGTAGCCAAGCAAGGCGTGCACGTGCACGTGCACGTGTGTGTGTGTGTGTGTGTGTGTGTGTGTGTGTGTGTGTGTGTGTGTGTCTCCTTCATTCCCTCATCTAGTGTTCATCCCTCCTCCTGCCTGTATCTGTCCTTCCCCTCCTCTCTCCTACCCTATGCTTGTTTCTCCCTCGTGGTAGCTCCCCCAGCCATCCCCCACCTCTTCCTCCTCTTCCTGCTCATCCTTCCCATTATCTTCCCTTCCTCCTCCTCCCTCTCCTCCCTCTCCTCCTCCTCATCCTCCTCCTCCTCCTGCTCTGGCTCCCTCGAGTGAAGCAAAAGGCTTCCACGGCTGGGCGGCAGCTTAAAGGTCGCACCCACGCGCGATCTCCATGTCCGCCACCTCTCCTCGGTGAGGTGCTGTGGCGTCGGGTCCATTGAGCTTTCCTCAGGTTCGAGGCCTCTCTGGCCAGAGCGTCTCGGAGTAAATCGCAAGGAAGTGTCGAGCTGGAGCCGCTGTTGCAGTCGCTGCAAGTCCACGGATTATGCAAGGTCGGGGGCACGGCGGCAACCGCGTGTCGCGATGTATGTTAGCCTAGCCTTATTTTCTCTACGAGCTTAGCCACCACATCGAGAATAGCGGTGCCAACCGCGCACGAATTGGCCACTAAAGTTATGTGCCGCTGGTAGTCTTCCCCTTGGTATGTCCAGAGCATTCGCGGGTTCACAAATGTATCTTCTACCCCACAATGGAACCAGAAGTGGAATTTGTTTACGATGCTCCATTTCGTAAGTCCAGCGTCAGCTGCCGATCTGGCCAACGAGCTGTACAGCACGCATCGCGCATTCTGTCGCGCTGGGCTGCCGAAGGAAACACGCCTGCAGCACTAATCTCTCTGTAGAACCGATTCAGATTCCGAATGCACAATGTTCGGGTCCTCCACTCGGTATCCCCAGGGATGTCGTATTCTTCTCACAGGTCTGCTACAATTGGAACCAGGGACCGACACTCTGCAGCTTTGACGCTGCTGGATAACTTCGGACAGTGAGCGTGGGGATGTTTGACGTCGGGGAGAAACATCTTTAGCCCGAACCCTCCGCCACGCCAACCCCGAACGATTGGCAGCCACGGCGTGCAGTGAACGCGATGCGTTTCATGCGGCGCATGGTTGTTAGAAGCGCAGAAGGCTCGGCACCCACGGCGTTCAATTTGGAGGGCACATCTTATACACATGGCGCATGTTAGGCGAATGCGGGGCAGGCGGAAAAGGCGCGAGCCCTATCGAATGTGATGCGCACTTTGGTGCCATGCTCCTCGTAGAGCTCGTGTATGCGGGTGCAAATGTTTGCGAACGTGGATTTCGGGTCGCCGCCAATCCTCTCGAACGTGGAGCACATCGAGACACAATGTATGATGTGTTATACCAGGTACACGACGGAACATAGGATGGTTAGTCAACAGTTTAATGCGGTCGGTTCGCCCCAGAGTTGACCAGTGCCCAGGAGTACCAACCTTGAAGATGCCCAGACAAGTCGGCGACGAGGAGAGGGGTGGGTAGATGAATGTGGTTGGTAACCAAGAGAATGCGAGGGCAGAGGTTAAGGGCGTGGGGTGCAATCGCACGTTTTCAACCGTGAACCTCGGAAAAGTTCAACCAGCATTTCTTCGTCGCCGACCTGTCCGCACGGCAGCGGAAACAAAACTCGTTAATATTGTGGTGCGGCATGCCGAACCCTTTGACGAAATAATCCAGATCACCCAGGATGTCATATAGAAACCCTTTGTATGGATACTCGTCGC